TGGCTACAAAATTATTTCAATCTATAATTGGAAATTATTGAAAGAAAAGGAGAAACAAAAATACACAAAAGAAATAGAAAATATAATTATCTTTAAATAAACTTTATTTCTCTTCTTCAAAAATCAATATAATAAATGTGTTTTTTTGCAGACACTCGAAAGTATGACGCGAGTATGGTTGTTGTTGGGTGTTCTGGCGTTGGCTAATGGCCAGATTGTTTACCCGGGTCAATACAACATGATGACGACCAACTTCGGTCGTGCCTCGGCATTATCTGCTAATTATCAAGCAGTCAGCAGTAGTCAACCCGTCCAAATCAATCAACAATTCAATCCAGGATCCGCTGTCGAATCAAAGCCGGTAGAAGGGCAATTTTATCCTACGACCACACACTTACCTTTGTACTCATCAGCAAATACTGTACTGACAGCCAGCCCGCAATCGACGTCGGAAGCTTGGCGCAATCATGTAAATTATTGCTATTTGCACATACCATCATGATCATTAAATCTTTCATGTATTCTTTTAAACTCTTTGTATCTCACATTTCCTTGAGTTACCATATGATTTAAAGTCTTCTAAAAATATTAATGAATGATAAAAAGAAATGATATTTGTTGTCAAATAATCGCTTCATTAAAACTATTGATTTCAGGTAAACAATATTATATATAAGGGAATTACAAAGTTTGCTCTCGATTTGGATAGAGCGATTGATAAAACTTTGAGCACAACGGCAACTAATAGTCGTGAGAACGTGATCTTCTCTCCGCTCAGCGTTTCTGTCGCATTGTCATTAGTCCTATTGGGTTCCGCTGGCAAGACCTTTGATGAAGTTACCCGGATACTCGGCTTAGAGACTGGTATCGATATATCCCAACATTCCGAAATTGTTCATCAAATGTTTGGTCAGCTCCTGACCATCTTGAACTATAGGGTTGAGGATAGCGACATGCCGCACGTGAATTCTGCCAGTGGTATCTTCGTCCAGGTAAATTTTAACATTCTGATTACTTATATGTTATAGAATAATTTGTATCTAACTGTAAATGCAACAAAATGTCGAAGCTGATTAAATAAAGTCTGTGATAAAGTTTCACGAAAGAGTATATATCGAAGTATTAACGATCTTTAAGTTATACAAATGATTAAAAATGGAATTCGCGGATTGAACTTGAAGGATGCAAATAGATAAAAATATTTTTCTTTATTTCAATACAAAATGAAAGTTTCTTTTTAATACATTTTATGAATTTTGTATTCCCATCCTAGCAAGGATATCCGATTCGACCAGAATTCCGCGCGATCAGCGAGAATGTGTATAATAGCGAAGTGATAAATTTAGATTTTCGCACAAAAGCCAGAGAAGCGCGTGACATAATTAATGCATGGGTGAAGAAAAGAACAATGGATAAAATTGATAGTATATTGGACGAACCGCCACGTGCAATGACAACTGTAATTCTTTTATCAGCGTTGTATTTCAAAGGAGAATGGAATCAACATTTCTTGGAAGGTATGACACGGAGGTACGTTTTGCTATTTATTTAGCCCGAATAACAAAAAACGTCTTTATTTTTATACTTTTGATAATTGAAAAATATTTTTATTGCAGGAAACCATTCTTTATTGAGCCGAATAATACAGTCGAAGTAGATATGATGTATAACGGTGGTAATTTTCCCTTCTACGAGGACAAATCGTTGGGCGTTAAAATTCTGGCTCTACCTTACAAAGGTTTAGAGGTAAACATACAAAAATATTAATTATATTGTTATTCTTTAATTTTTTTAATAATGAGGATAAAGTTTAAATTTACAATATCTCTTAAAATCTTTCAAATATTAAATTCCTAGATTGTTATCTTTAATATTATTTACGCGTTAATGAATATAAATATTTCTCGCCTCTGGAAATTTCCTCTTTCGAGTAATAATTCATATGAGAATTTGTTCCTTTTATCTCCAGATGTCCATGTATGTACTTTTGCCGAAAGCTGAAGGAGCCGCCGCATTAAAGAATTTCCAGAACCAACTGACGGCCGATACTATTGAGTATCTAATAAACAGTATGAAGAACGAGACATGTGTCATCGGTTTTCCCCGTATGAAGCTTTCGAGCAAATTGAGTTTGAACGGTGCGCTTCAAAGTCTAGGCTTGCATTCATTGTTCAGTCCAAAAACTGCGGATTTAAGCATCTTGTCAAGCGGATACGGTCAAGCGCCACAAGCACCAATAGTACCGATTCAGCAAGCGCAGGCCGCAGCAATTCCGCAAGTAGAAGCTATTCCAACCATGGTCACATCGATTCCGCAAGGACAAGCTGTACCAGATCCACAATCATATGTTGCGTCGATTCCACAACCATTAGCTACGTCAATTTCCCAAGGACGGGCTGCGCCAGTTCCACAACCATCTGCTACATCGATTCCACAAGCGTCATCGCAAATGCCATGGCAAATTCCTTCCGGGCAATCGCCGAATACCAAGACTGATCAGATTTTAATTTTCTCGCGATTTGGGAATAATAACAGTCATCAGAACGCAAAAAGGAATTATTTCGCGTACGACGATAAGAAACGCGGTGTCAGCGTAGAGCAATGGAACACGGGCTTCAATATCCAAAAGATTGATAGAACACGTCGCGACGCTGAGAACATAAGACGACGTAATAACACGAAGTCATTCCATGCAACGTACGTCGTGGAGAACGAAGATCTTAAGAAAGTCACGTCAATGATTGACGATGTAAATACGAAATACGTGAAGGAGAACAGACATCGCTTTGAAAATGTCGAGAAGAAAAGTAGAAGGAGACGGCAAAGCCGACCCATAGACCAGAACTTCTTGAGATTCATACAGACTCAAAATTTCCCTTCTTATGGCCTAGATATTCTGCGAAACAGCGCGAATCTCGTGAATCCGAGCCTGTATGCTGACGAGGTGCTGCATAAAGTGGAGATGGATGTAACGGAGAAGGGGACGGAGGCTGCTGCGACGACTGCAGTGGTTCTACGCCGAGATGGTAATCAGAAGAAGCTGGTTGCCAACCGGCCTTTCATGTTTTTCATCAGGCACGATCCCACGAAGCTCATCCTTTTCTGGGGAACGGTAAACAAGCCGACTCCACACTATCCCGTCGTTAGATGAAATGCACTATGAACGTTTCCCTTAGACATATCAGAGTTTGCTTTCCTCGCAAATAATTCCTACTTATTTTTTTTTTATATTTATATATATTCGTCCTTAATTCACACAAATGCGATTATTTTATATATGTCTTTTTTAAATATATTTTACATCGCTGTAACACGCCATTTCCACGCAACATATTGCGATCGTGAGTATTGTATTGCAATATATTTGTAACACGTGTGCGTCGAAGCTTATTTCGCGTGGTATATTTACTGTAAGTTAAAACGATATTATAATTATATTATTTAAGTATAAATAAACATAATATTGCATTTTTAATGTAACGACTATTAAAACACGATTTATGCAAGGAGATAAATGACAATGACTTGAAATTTACAAAATTATGGATAGGTAAGTTTCCAATGCACAATGACGCTACAATTGATTTAATAGAATTGCTGTTGATACGATACGTATGTTTTAAGCTTTTAATACTCCGAATTTAGTTTTCGAGCCGTACAGCTCATTTTGCTTGTAGTGATAAATAATGTTCCTTCAAATTTTTGAAAATAAATATCGATAATATACGAAATCAATAAAAGTTGTCTTTCTTTCATATATTTCTATATTATAGATATTAATTTAAATGCTTAATTATAAAAATAAAAATAATTGTAATTTAACTAACACAATTTTCTTTAATATAATTATCATTATGATTACATTTTACCAATAACAAAACTAGAATCAGCAAATAGTGGCTTCTGTTTTACTTATAGCAATTTTAATTAAATATCTATTGATTTAAATATTGCAAAAAGAATTGAAATAATTGCATATAATCACGTAATTAAAAATATATTAAGACATATTATATATTGCGATTGTCAAACGACACACATAATCGAAAACTCAATTATATTTAAACTCTAATCTATAAACATTACAGTAATCTACAGAGTGTGCAAAATATTTAAAATTAACACAACTTTGTAAGGCATCCTTTTATGAAATAACTTAAAGATTTTTCGTAAAGAACTTTTAAAAATAACTTAAAGTTGTCTTATTGTCGATTTTAGACGTTCTACTTATTGGATAGAATTTACTCTAGAATTCAAACAATCATCTACAGATTAAATTGTAAACTCGAAATCGCTTGTTTCTCTAACATTGTTTTATTGAACGAGTCACAAAGCTTTTGACAGGCCTATAAAGTTTTTGGATGAGATAGAATCGCATAACATTCGAAACCGAACAAATCATATTGTTACTTAAAGATATCAAAATAATCATGCTGATCTATCATCGATTTTGCCAATCGCACCTGATTGTGACAATAAACTTTATAATCAGATGTATAAATCTTAAGACTCGTTTAAATAAACTTAAATATTTTAATATTTCACGCTCATTCGAAACACGCAAGACTCGCACGTATATCATTCGAAATTAATTCGTTAACGATATTGTTGTTTAGAAATCGACAGTCGTGTCCTAGCTATACACAGATCATTGCGTGTATTATCGTGTCGTCGTCGTCGTCGCGTCGTGCCGGTGTGAAAATAAGGGACCCCGACCAACGGATCCGAATATTTCGCAATTTCTATCGCACTAATTAAATCCACCGTGCCATTGTCGCGTCGCGTTAATTATCATAATTATTTGCTTTATATTCATGTGATAACCCTATTATCTATCTAAATCGACGAACATTTCCAATATGGAGAACATAAAGGACGATGGGTACGAGAAAAACATGAATAATTCTATATATGATACAAAATTCTATGAAAACCATGGAACGTTACTTCCATTTCCACCCGCGTCTATACCACCGTTTAATTTTATGCCTGTATTTACAAATAACTTTCAACCACTCTACCAACTTCCATCATCTATACGTAAGTACATTAAGTGCTGTATCATAATCATTTATTATAATTGTTCAATTATTTCTATGCAACAATCGTATTCTAATTCAAAATAAGAAATTAGTTTTTTATTCTGAAAATGAAATGGAATCTTAATTGAAAGTCTCGAAATCATTAAAAAAATTTTTTGTGAAGTTTCGAAACCACTGTTTAATTTTTCTGTGATCTTCCATTCTGATTTTCCTCAATCAGAATTCAAAATAATTCGCTAATTGTAAGCGGAATTATGATTATGTTAAACCCTATTTCTTTTGTGTTTGTCTAGAAAAAAATTCAGAATTTTAATTTTACATAAATATGGCATTTACAAATGTAATTAGTGGTTCATAATGCTGGTTATAGTTTGATGACTTTTACAGTTTTTGTTGTGAATTCTCAATAAAATACTTCCAATATTATATACTCATTCACTGAACTTATGTTTATTTTTATTAATGTAGATTAACTTTAATCTTTGTTTAATTTATTTTTTTCTAAGAATCAATTTTAAGACTCGATGTTTATTTCAAATTCTTAGAATCAGAAAAAAATTTAATCAAATCAAGATTAAAATTTAATTCTAGTGGTAGAAATGGATATAAGTAGCAATTGAATATAATTGGTTGGATTCGAAGGTAACAATCGTATTCGATTATCGTTTAGCCACTCGCAAGTAAAGTGTAAACGGTGTAGTACCGACTGCATCACAAGTGCTAATACCGCCATGAGTCGCTACCGACAGAATGCAACACATAACGACATAACCTAAAACTTTCTGTTGCCTGCGTTTGTCTTTTTTTTCTGGAGACACGGTAGTGTCTCGACGTTAAGATTGTATTGACTTAACAAATCAGCGGAATATACTGAGAGACGCATCGATGCCGAAATACTATTGTGACTATTGTGACACTTATTTGACACATGACTCACCGAGTGTGCGGAAGACCCATTGCCAAGGTCGCAAGCACAAGGACAACGTCAAATATTTCTATCAGAAATGGATGGAGGAACAGGCCCAGCATTTAATCGACGCAACAACGGCTGCTTTCAAGGCCGGTAAGATCGCCTCCAACCCTTTCGCGGCCAACAAAGGTGCGGCAATACCACCGCCACCCAACCTCGGCTCCAATCTTGGCTCGAGATCCGGAGTACCACCTCAGGGACCCCCGGGAATGATGCCACCGCCGGGTATGCATCCAGCTGGTCCGATGGGTCCAGGAGGCCCAATGATGATGGGACCACATGGACCAATGCCACCTCCTATGATGGGTATGAGACCACCTATGATGGGACCGATGGGGCCGATGGGTCCTATGATGGGTCCTATAGGCCCTATGGGACATATGAGACCACCAATGAACGGACCACCACCTCCAATGGTTGGTCCACCGCCAATGAAAAAATAACATTTGGATTAAGGATTTTTATTTCTTGTACGTTATGTCGACTATAACTGAAGCAAAACCAAACTTTGTTGTGGATGTGCTTATTAAAGTGTCATTAAGACTAAATTATAATACATACATTATATATATTTAAGAATCCTGTACAAACTGAGGAACTAATAATTAGAAACTTTCTACAATTTTCTTTGATTTGTATCTAAATAATCCATAATTTTTTTTCTTAAATAACAGTAATATAACAGTTTTCATGTAATATATTTTATTTTATGCCTATTATTTAACGTTGAGTTATAAGTAATTAAAAAAATATATTCTGAAG